GCCATCAGGAACTCCTGAAGGTCTCGTGCTCAGAGCAGCTGTAGGCACTCAGATCAGGGAATTACAAGAAATTCAGGATCTGGGGTCTCACTGCTCCCAACACACAACAGTTTGTATAAATGAAATTCAAACACCTCAAAGCTGCCCAGTAGGAAGAAAGTCACTGTGACCTGGGACACAGGACATCCCCAGAGGAAACAGAAAACCATTCATAAACACTGTAGGCCTCGCCATGCACGAGCTCCTGCTTCATGTGCCATGGGAAATGCAAGCATGAGCAGACACTGCAGTGTGGTACAGTGAGTCCATCACAGGGATGCCAGATGCATAAACCCACCCACCCATCAACCATGTCTCCACCCTGCATGCTTCCTTCTAAGGAACCGTGGTGAGGCTGCATCATAGACACCCCTGATCTTCCCTGCCTCCTGGTGCCAACGAAGCCAGGAAAGACAGACAAGAACCAGGACAGAAATGCGCAGATGACTAGAGAAGTTACTTTATTTGGCACATGGATAAAAGAAGGATCCTGGAGCCAGGACATCCGTAGAGAACGGCAGAGGGAAAGGTATCTCTGTCATTCTGCTGTGTTCTCTCCCAAGTTCCAGGGCGAGCTATGTGTGCTTCCAACCTATTTCAGGTACAGAGCCACCGCCACAGAGGGAGAGGAATAGATGTGTCCCATCTGCAATGGCAGAAGCTGGTTTGGAGACACTGGTCAGCAGCAGGAGGGTCTGCAGACCAGGGTGGGGCAGGAGGGCTGGCAGCACCCGGATGATTGACAGGAGGAGGTCACACAGACAGGCCGGCAGCTCACAGGCACACACACAGAGGACTGGCAGGAGGGAGTCATGCACACAGTGGGTCTGCAGCTCATGGGCACACAGCAGGTGGCCTGGTATCTCACAGGAATGCAGATAACAGGCTTGCAGCAGGATGGCTGGCAGGGGCTGGACACACAGCAGGAGGGCTGGCAGGGGCTGGACACACAGCAGGCAGGCTGGCAACCTGAGGAGCAGCTGGTGTGGCACATAGTGGAGGCTGGCTGGTCTGTAGGAGGGTGGGAATGACTGGAGCTCCTGCCCAGGGTGGCTTTTATACCCAGCCCAGTGTCCCAGAAACCCAGAATGCATCTGGTCTTCCTTGTTTGCTTCCTCTGGCCTCCCAGGTTGGCTTTGCTGTTGTCCATGCTCTTGCTTGCCCAACTCCATGACTAATGCAGCTCTCTGGCTGCTGCTACATTAGGCTCCCAAGCCATCCTCTCCCGGTACTGTGTGGATTTGTCAATGCCCCATGAATTCCTGATTTCCTTACATGGGCTTCTAGAAGTCCAGGAGTTCAGATAACTTCCCTGTCGGACAACAGTCCTGCCCTGTGGGATGACAGTCCTCCTACAACCACAGAGATTGTTCTTCTCCTGTGGTCTAGAAGGCTGAATATAATGAGTGTCCTCAACCATCTGTGTCCTGGGTGAAGGTAGGTTGGACCAGCCACACCCTTGGAAAGCAGGTAAAGTCAATATAGGTTCACAGGGAGCACAGCTGGTCCTCCTTTTGATGTGTTTAGCAGTGAGCCACAAGTACCATCAGGAAAGGTGGGATCTTGAGTGGAGGCTGGGTGGATTTTCCACATTTGTACCCCCACAGAGTTTAAAAACAGATCTACACAAGCTCAAAATAACCAACTAGCTGGCTCTCTACTTGAACAAAACTCGTAGTCACAAGAAGATAATAGAACCCAGAGTCTCCAAATGTATTTCATAAGTAACCAGATATAAGAGATTTTGTGATATAAATCACCTTTATAAGTAAAAGCAACCAACAGAAAGAATCCGGCATGATCTCATTACAGAGACGGGCAGTGACCACAGCAGCTGTTCTAAGCCCAAAGATCAAAGAAAAATATTATCTTCATGAGTGAATAGGTAGAGACTCCCAGGAAGGACGTGGAATTAATCAAACAAAGGAAGTTCTAAAACTGAGATGTACAATAGCTGAAATTTAAATACACATTGGACAAACCCGATAGCAGATGCAAGAAGGAAGAAATATCATTCCATCAAACAGAAATTATTCCATCAAAAACAGATGAGTTTGAAAAGAAGAAGAAGAATTTAAGTGTTGGTGAGATGGCACAGCAAGGAAAGGCACATGAGCCCAACCCTGATGACCTGAGCTCAATCCTAAACCAATATGGTAGAGAGGATAGACAGAGACAAGTTGTTCTCCCTCCCACGCCCCTCACACACACACAGTGTTGGATCCTATCCTCAGAAGACAGCACCATCCATCAGAAGTGCGGATGGAGAAAGGGAAGGAAGGATGAGACAGTGGGGGAAACACAGAGGCACACAGAGACTGCACAAGAGAGATGCGGAGGGTAGGACCAGAAAGCTTACAGGAAGGAAGATACTGACAAGCGGTGTATCTGATAAAGTTAATAACTAGAATGTGGAAAGAATTATTACAGCAAAAGGACAAGCCAGCACCAAGCAGGCTGAAGACTGAACGCTCATTTCTCCAGGGAAGACACACAAATAGCCAATGTTCATACTATGGGAAGAATTCCTACAACAAAAGGACACACCATCACCAAGCAGGCCGAAGACTGAACTCTTAATTTCTCCAGGGAAGACACACGAATGGCCAAGTTCATTAAAGAGAAGCTATCACAGTGAGATGCACCGTGTCCCACTTTGGGGGCTGGTAGCAGTGTTTAAAAAGGAAGGCAAGTATTAGCATGTGTGGGGAGTTTGGAGCCCATCTGCATTCCCGGTGGGGTGGAGGGTAGAACAGATACCAGATCTCCAGGGCACATTGGAGATTCCTCAAAAGAGACACAGTTACTGTATGAACCAACAGACACACCCCTGGGAAGTAAAGGGCACCCTAAAGTTCTTTTACAGGGTCTTGCTCTATTTCCTAGCACAGACACAGGGTCAGCCTTTGGCTTTGGAGGTGACGTCTGGCCCTAACCACACAGTGCTCTTCTTAGAAAGACATTTGACCTGAATCTTCACCCACCAAGAGTATCTGCACATCCAAGCCTTAGTTGGGACCCAGTGTTCAGACCTCTAAACCTGTAGGAATGCTCCACCTTGGATCCAAAACACTCTGCCACATATACTTGTTGCTATCTCCTGAGTCAAAATGTGTTTGGTCTATCTCTAAGGGCCTTCATAATCTCAACAGTTCTAACATGATTCAGAGGCGTTTGTTAGGTCTCCTCTGACTCAAGGCAGCAGCTCTCATTGTGAGCTCTGAAAAGTAAGTAAATAAATAAGTCACATGTTCATAGTGTACACAGACACAGTGAGCATTCACATTGCAGAAGGGGAGGATGATGCGGAAAGACGACACCGAAGGAAGACCGGACACCAGCAGAGTACATATTAAACACCACAGCTCCATATCAGGCATCTTGGGCTCATGATGACATCATCTAGGCTCCAACAAGCTTGGCAACCCTGCCCCCTAGCTCTGATGCCTGCCGCACACACAGCCTCTCTCTCTCTCTCTCAGGTCAGCCCCCACCCTGTGTCTGCACATTTCTCCTTAGCAGGCACTCCATGTTCCTGGCTCCTCCGCCATCTTGGGGTCTCCACTGTAACGAAAGCTTCACCTTTGCAGTACCAAGAATGTTCAGGGCAAGCCTGCTACATATTGCCTGGGCCCACAGGCTTTGCTCTAGAACATTGGTGCAAGCTTTAATGCCAACTCATTCTTGTATCTTGCATGCCCCCACAACCAGACTCTGCAAAACCATCCTCCTTTTAGATGAAAGATATCTTTTTACACATTTTATTTATTTATTCTTATGTTTATGGGTGTTTTTGCTCAATTTTCAGTAGAAAGCCTCCTGCATCTGAGAACACAGTCAAACTCCAACATCCCTTCTAAACAACCTCCTTCCTCTTACTGTATGTCAGTCAACCTGGGTCCTCATGCTGTAGGTAGTAGTAGGCATTATTTCCAGAGCGAATCCCTGAAGCCTCTGCTGTGTCATCTTCATATCAGCCTGTCCCCCTTTCAACCCCCTCCCCCCCCCAGTCCTGGGAGCGCAGTGACAACTCCCCTGCCCTGCCCTAAGCAGCTCCACCATGCCTTTCAGCTCTAGCCCCGACCAGTAGAAATCATTCCTACTGGGGTGACGGGTGTCCTGGCTCGCCCCCTCTCCCCCGCCACGCAAATACGAACACAGGATGGAAGTACCCATGTTCTGGTGTCTGAGCTGCCTGACAGACTCTTCTACAAGCTCTTGTTTGTGTCTCAGTTTCCCTCATCTAGGAATAATGAAATCGTCTCCCTCTCAAGGTCGCAGGGCTTAGTGAGTTGATATTTATAGACTAACTTGGAATAATTCCTAAATCAAAGCAAGAACTATTAACACTAGTATTGTTGGGGCTGGAGAAATGGTTCAGCAGTTAAGAGCACTGGTTGTTCTTCCAGAGGTCTTGAGTTCAATTCCCAGCAACCACATGGTGGCTCACAACCATCTGTAATGAGATCTGGTGCCCTCTTCTGGCCTGCAGGCATACATGCAGACAGAATACTGTATACATAATAAATAAATCTTTTATATAAAAAAAAACACTAGTATTGTTGATAAAGAAAATGAACACAGCGCTCTGACCGTCATCCCCAAATAAAGTGGCTATAAAATAAGATTAAAATGTGCTGATGACTCAATCAAGGGCTGAAGCAGGGATCCAGAGCTAGGGGCCTCAAGAGGTGGCCATGGCAGACAACAGGGAACTGACCCTCCCTGGAGAGGAAATGACGCCTGCCCTGCTCTATCTGAAAGTTCTATGGGCAGAGCTACAGGTCATGGCCACTTGATTGATGGGTGTCCTTACATCATCATCAACATCAACAAGGAACTGCAGCTAGGACAACACAAACATATACAAACCCTTGAGAGATATATAAGTGGTACCCACCTTCCCACCTCACTCACTCATTCAACACCTTCTCACCTCACCCTCAACCCTCCACTCAGCCATGGCCGCCTCCACCATGTCCATCTGCTCTGAGCCCTGTACTGAGTCCTCCTGGCAGATTGAGGACTGCCCAGAGAGCTGCTGTGAGCCTAGCTGCTGTGCCCCCAGCTGTTGCCAGCCCAGCTGTTGTGTCCCCAGCTGTTGCCAGCCCAGCTGTTGTGTCCCCAGCTGCTGCCAGCCCAGCTGTTGTGCCCCAGCCCCCTGCCTGACCCTCATCTGCACCCCAGTGAGCTGTGGGTCCAGCCCCTGCTGCCAATCTGCCTGCAGCAGCTGCTGCACACCCTCATGCTGCCAGCAGTCTAGCTGCCAGCCCTCATGCTGCACCTGCTCCCCTTGCCAACAGTCCTGCTGTGTGCCTGTCTGTTGCAAGCCTGTCTGCTGCACACCCTGTTCTGGATCCTCCTGCTGCCAGCAGTCTAGCTGCCAGCCCTCATGCTGCACCTCCTCACCTTGTTGTGTGACCCTTTGCTGCAAGCCTATCTGCTGCACACCCATCTGCTCTGGATCCTCCTCATGCTGCCAGCAGTCTAGCTGCCAGCCCTCATGTTGTCAATCCTCCTGCTGTGTGCCTGTCTGCTGCAAGCCTGTCTGCTGCAAGCCCTGCTCCAGCGTGTCCCTGCTCTGCCGCCCTGTGTGCAGACCTGCCTGCTGTGTGCCCAGCTCCTCCTGCTGTGCCTCGTCCTGCCAGCCCAGCTGCTGCAAGCCCTGCTCCAGCATGTCCCTGATCTGCAGCCCTGCGTGCTCCCGCCAAGCCTGCTGTGGCCTCTCCTCGGGCCAGAAGTCCAGTTGCTGATGGGTCCATTTCCTGGGGATCCGTCCCCTCTCCCCCTAGTCCCTGGACTGCCTCAGATGTAAGCCCTGCCTAAGCTTGAGTATCATTCACCAAACAACAGAGGATCCTGTCTTGCTCTCAGCCATTACCCGGCCTGAGATCCTGGTCACAACCTAGGATTCCTGCACCACAGTCCAGGGGTCAGAGGACTTCTCTGTGGGAAATTATCAGGTGCCCTCTCACTGGAAGGCTCCTCAGAACCCTAATAAACACTTTCCTTGACCTTAGCCACGCCTCATTCTTCCTCTCTGAACTCCAGTGGAACCAGCGTCAAGTCCCAATGGGGGAACAGGAAGCAGGGCAGCAGGGCCCTCCACCTTCCCCAGCTTGTCCTGGGCCATCACTCTCACACCTATGATAGAGGGTCCTGATCATAGGCAGCCCCTATCTACCCCTCTGGGTCAGCCTCTTTCCCAGGAGTCATCTGGCAAGGACAAGCAGACCTTCAGGGTGGGTGGACGTATGTCTGGTGCCAAAGGTCTGATACCAGCAATCTAGCTGCCAGCCAGCCTGCTGCGTGCCTGTCCGCCGCAAGCCTGTCTCTGGAGGGACCAACAGAGGCAGCTGCTAAGAACCTGGTCCCTCGGAAGAGAGAGCGGGCTCAGTCCCTCACAAGAGAAAGCAGACAACTCACCCTGTACTAGGGGAACTCAGATCCCAGGGGCCAGCACGGGCCCTCAAATCTCCCCTCACTCTGTAGGCTACCTCCTCAGCTTAGAACGCAAATAACCCATAGGCTTTCAACACGGAATAAGCAGAGCTGGCTGTGTCTCCCACATGAACTCCCTCCAGGCCCAGCAGCTGTCTCCCCTCCATCGCTCTCCATGCTGCCGTGTCTGCCCCCCACAAGAGGCCTCCAGGGCACATGCACCCACCTGCCACCTCCTGTTCTGTCTCTCGCTTTTCAGGCACAGCCTTCATCCAGGTTACTGAAACCTGCCAACTCTGCAGTCTCTCCTCTAGCTCCTCTTCAGGGAGAAGCCACACTCTCCTGGAGCTGTGAGCCTGGAGGCCAAGCCAGGTGTCCTACGTTCCATCGCCAAAGTCAGAGAGAGAGGCAGCCAGCAGCTCCAGCAGCTATGGTGCTCGGTCTGCTGTCCCGACTGACTCCAGGCTGTGGAGCAGCCGCGTGCAGGCTGGACCTTTCCCTGGATCCCCTCCACGTCACCAGGAGCGTTTGGCGCCATAGTGAGTGTCAACACTAAAGCAGGAGGATTCTCCATCTTGTGTACATCCCTGTGAACCAGCCAGAGTGGGTTGGGAACACATGAGCACGTGTGCCTATTAAAACCAAATCACAAAAACCTGGCCCAAGAGCTCGTCCAACACACCAGACCGAGGAAAGGTGCTACGCCCTCACGTCACTCCATGGGGAGGAGAACATGAGGTAACTAGTCCTGGCCTTTCATCTAATCACTCCACGTGTGTCAAGGGATGGATAGGAGAATGCCCACCTGGGGCTTCAGCTCCTTCGTCCCCACTGCTGATGTGACCCATCCAAACTGCCATCTGTCCACCCATCTTTTTGCTTGCCTGGCCCTGACCCTGAATCTCAGCAACATGTGTTGGGGTTCACCACAGCTACCACAAGAAGCTAACACAACCAGCCATGGCCAGTTCTGCAGGACTTTGCCTTCACACCGCTCAGCTTTCAGAGGAGGGTTCTGAGAGGACCCTAAACAATGAAAAGATAAAGACCTCTGCCTCTCCCTCCTTCCCTTCCTCCCTCCCCAGGAGGCAGAGGCCTCCTGCCTCTGGGAGACCTGAGCTCACAAGACCACAACAGTCCTCGAAAGGACTCTAGTTGGCCCAGGCATAATAAACAAGGCACTGGCAGGCCTTGCCCTTCCCCCCTCCCTTGCAAACTGTAGATGACATCCCTAAAGCTAGCCACCAAGGTCTATTCCCTTATTGGGACACTTTCTTATTCCAGACTCATTCCTGGGACTGTCAAAGTACTGAACGCCAGCAATCCAAAGCCCCCTTTTGGCTACCCTAATTAACAAGCCCAATTAAAACATTCCACCGCATCCTGGACCATTCTAACACAGACCTCCCCTTTTCCCTCCTAAAAATTTACCACACCTGCAAGGGCATTTGCTGCTGTTTTTCTGCCTCAGTCAGAAGTCGGTCTCTTTTCTTCCCTGCTTAATAAAGGGACTCTCTGTGAAAACAGGTGTTTGAGTGTGGCCTGTGCCTAATCAGGGTCCAGGAGAGAGCACCCCACTATGTGCCGGCCCCTTCAATCCTGACTCCTCGTCTGGGCTATCCTATTACCCACATCTGAGTTAACAGTGGCTGCCCTGCCCTGACACCCACCTGAGTACCACTGTGAGAGTTGAGCTGCCTACACTGGAGGAAAGTGCCCCCAGGGAGGGACTTGGTGCCCTCAGGGAGGACCTTAGTGCCCCCAGGGAGGATCTTAGTGCCCCCAGGGAGGATCTTAGTGCCCCCAGGGAGGACCTTGGTGCCCCCAGGGAGGATCTTAGTGCCCCCAGGGAGGATCTTAGTGCCCCCAGGGAGGACCTTAGTGCCCCCAGGGAGGATCTTAGTGCCCCCAGGGAGGGCCTTGGTGCCCCCAGGGAGGATCTTAGTGCCCCCAGGAAGGATTTTAGTGCCCCCGGAGAGGGCCTTGGTGCCCCCAGGGAGGATCTTAGTGCACCAGGGAGGACCTTAGTGCCCCCAGGGAGGATCTTAGTGCACCAGGGAGGACCTTAGTGACCAGGGAAGAACTTAGTGCCACAAGGGAGGACTTTGGTGCCCCCAGGGAGGATCTTAGTGCTCCAAAGAGGATGTTAGTGCCCCATGGAGAAGCTCACTGTCCTAGGGAGGAGCTCACTGCCCCAGTGAGGACCGTAGGGCCCCAGGAGACACTCAGTGCCCCTGTGTATACCTGACCTCTGGGTGGCTTTCCCCTCTCCTCCTCTCAGGCCAGGCAGTCTGAGCAAGCTGTAAACACTGTCACAAAGACACGATCACTCTGTCAAACTCCAGCCATAAACAAATTCATAAAGCCTGCAGGTCCTTGTTTTAGTGGGACCTCACTGTTGAGAGAAAGTGCTTGTGGAAATAACTTGGTCTGTGTGTGGGGTGTGTGGAGTACTTCACAGAAAGACGGGAACTTGGGCGGGGGGGCTGACATGGGAAAGACAGCCTCACCCAGAGATTAGAGTTCCTCCATCCTCAGAATGGCTAGGAAGATGGCTTGTTGATCAAATGCTTCCCTTTGGAGAGTGAAGACCCGAGTTTGATTAGCCAGCCTAGACTGCTTAGTGAGCTCCAGCCTGATCAGAGCCCCTGGGAGTGAAAGCAGAGACTGTCCTCTGGCACGTGCGCGCACACAAACACCTTCAAACAGCTAATAAATTCAAACTGCCTAGTGAGATAATGTGTGTTTCTCTGCAGACAGGTCAGACACGGATGTCAGAAACAAGAAACAAGCGGTGTTTACTAAGGGCCAGGATGCTTGTGACCTCCACGTTTGCTGTATTTGCCTTCCTGTTTGTCCCTAAATCTAAGCAGTGCGCTTCAAATACCACCCTAAAATTTCATTTACAAGTGGAAGAGAAGAGAAAATAAGCCAGTTTGTGTGTTGCTTGAGTGAGTGTTAGGTTTTGCTGGGTCTTTAGACCCTGTACGCTGCAGGAAGGTAACAGAAATCTTCAGACTGTGTTCCGGGGAGAGGCTCAGTGGGTAAGGTGATTGCTGTGCAAACACAAGGACCTGAGCTCAATCCCCACAACCCATGGTTTTAAAATCCTGGCACTGGGAAGGTGAGGCCAGTCAGATCATTAGGGCTCCCCAGCCAGCCAACCAGATTCAATCGGTGAGCAATAGGCCAAAGAGAGACCCTGCATTAAAAAAAATAAAAAATAAAAATAAATAAATAAAGTGGATGTCGTGTGAGGAGCAACATCTAAGGTGGTCTCTGGCCTCGACACACACACACTTACACAACACATACACAAACACAGATGCACACACATGCACGTGCATGCGCTGTGCACACACACATGAACACAGACATACACACAAAGAAAGCCATAGGATCACATATACAGCCACTCTGTAGACACCTCAGCAGACTTTCTGGGGACACTCACAATGCAATGTCTCTGTCTAAATCCTTCATACTTGCTTAACTGCACTCTGGCCCATCCTGAAGCGCTTTTCTGTGTCGGTGTTGGGAATCAGGCTCTACTCAGCTGGAGGTCTCTAAAATGGAAGCGAACGAGTTGGCAGCTGTGGCTGAGCCGGCCCCATGGTCTCAGAGGCATCACAAGTTCCTAAATTCAAACTCTGAGGTGAGAAGCTTGTACCTCACAAGCAGATGGTGATGAAGGGCTTCTTACCTCATTCATAGTTGCCAGGAAGGGGGAAGGGAGAGATGGAAGGAAAGACACAGACAGATAAGAAACAACAATAACCCTTCAAAGGCTTCTCAATGCCCACCTTGTGCCCCACTGCTGGCACCCTTCACCAGCACCCTCTGCTGGGAACCACACCTCTTTGGAGGGACATTTCATATTGAAACTATAGTAGTCATGACGACAGAACATTGGCAGGACCACAGCTCATGCAAAGAGGTTCTCCACACACACCTCACACAGAACACCATCAGCTCAGGGACTGTCTACCCCAACCTGATTGACTGGTTTCCTCTACATCCCCAATGTGTGGTGCATGGCAAGTTACAGAGTCCCCCAGTTTCCTGTCCTGCTGCGGGCTTGTCTCGAGTTCCAGCACCCCATGAAGGAGGTCCTTCTGAGAATATCTGAACTCTCCGTTCTGAGATAGACTGTGACCACTGAGGCCTGTTCCAACCATAGTTCCTCCCGAGGCCCCCGGACAGAGCTCTGGGGCTGATGCTGAGGGACTGGGCTGTGGTGAAAATGAGCCCTCAAGAATAAGACGGAAGCACAGGGGCCCCACAAGTTCAAAGGCATCCAGGCACCAGGCTCCGGCCTCAGCCTTAACGCATATCAAAGGTCATCAAAGCCAGAGCAGGGAGTACTCCAGTCACTAGCAAAAGGAACTGCTGCTTAGGCCCAGGCCCACCCCAGTCCTGCCTCAGACCTGTCGCCACCAGAGCAAGGTGTAGCAGAGGACTAGCCATAAGCTACCGAGTCCCCAGGATGAGTCTCTCTATCCAGGCCAAAATGAGAGAAGGAAAGCCCACCTCAGTCATTAGGGTCAGTTCCACCTTCGCCGGCAAGGACTTGATGGCAAACTTCAAAGAGAAAGGGGACAGACATGGCCAGCTTGGTGCAGTCAAATGTTAGGACTTTCCAGCAACACAGATATGACCACCCTATAATGGAGCCCAGCCCCAGTCCCTGACCACTGCCATCTCCTACCCAGATCCCCTCCCCATCAGTAGAGCAGGCCAAGGTGTCTGGCTTAGCACAACACACAGCCAGGGCATTTACAAGCAAGGTGGCATCTTCCGGCTGATCCCAGAAGGGCTCTCAAGGAACCAGTTCCAAACACCAACAAGGAAAGAATCGCTGTGAAGGACTGCCTGCACCAACAACACTCTGTGTGCAGGGTATAAAAGCTGACAGCCAGCCCTTCACACTCACACACTCACTCACTCACTCACACACTCACTCACCCACAGCTCTTACCAGACCTGCCCCCATGGCTGCCTCCACCATGTCTGTCTGCTCTGACGCTTGCACCAACTCCTCCTGGCAGGTGGATGACTGCCCAGAGAGCTGCTGTGAGCCTAGCTGCTGTGCCCCCAGCTGCTGCCAGCCTAGCTGCTGTGTCCCCAGCTGCTGCCAGTCCAGCTGTTGTGTTCCCAGCTGCTGTGCCCCAGCCCCCTGCCTGACCTTCATCTGCACCCCAGTGAGCTGTGTGTCCAGCCCCTGCTGCCAATCTGTCTGTGCTAGCTCCTGTGAACCCTCATGTTGCCAGCAGTCTAGCTGCCAGCCAGCTTGTTGCACCTGCTCTCCTTGCCAGCCATCCTGCTGTGTGACCCTGTGCTGCAAGCCTGTCTGCTGCACACCCATCTGCTCTGGATCCTCCTCATGCTGCCAATCCTCCTGCTGTGTGCCTGTCTGCTGCAAGCCTGTCTGCTGCAAGCCCTGCTCCAGCATGTCCCTGCTCTGCAGCCCTGTCTGCTCCCGCCAGGCCTGCTGTGGTCTCTCGAGCTGCTGCTGACCTGTCCTGTGGGGGCGCCAGAGCTCAGCTCCTTCCTTCCTTCTCTCACAGTGCTGTAGGGGTTGGTTGCAGCATCAGCTTTGGCACCATATAGCATAACTCCGTGATGTCACATCCCACCAGCTGGTGCCCACCCTCCCACCTGCAGCTTCCTATAAAGGCCTGGTAGCACTCCAAATCCCCAGCATGCCTCTGCTTTCCCCAACGCATGTCTTGCCCTGCCATAAATAAACTTCTCTTCCTGGCCTTTGAGTGTCCCTCTTCCTGCCTCAAGCAAGGGTCAGGGATATTCTGAGAGCATTTCCAGGTGACCCTCGGGATTCGGACTGTCTCGCCTCTGACTGGAGTCCCCAGTGGAGTGTGGCTGGTGGCTGGCAGCCCGATAAGTCCCTGGCAAGAGAACCCTGCATCCCCAAGTCTCACTACCCTTGGTTGATTGTGACTGTTCAGAGAGAGGAGGGGGCCAGCATAGTGCATATAACCAAAGTATAGTGCATCCTGAGCAGTCCCCTGTAGTACTTTATTCAAATGTCCCAACCAACAAAGAGTACAGCCTGGGGGTGGGGGAAGGGTAACAAGGAGAAAGAAGCCGAATGGCAGACGTTCTTTGTCCACTCTCTGTTCTCTCTCTCTCTCTCTCTCTCTCTCTCTCTCTCTCTCTCTCTCTCTCTCTCCCACCCCCTTGGGCCACTCTGGAAGTCCCCCACATTTCCAGAGCCGCAAGCATGCCATGCCCTCTTGGCCACAGCCACATTCTGGTCTTCTGTCCCTCTCCACCCTCACACCAGCGTCCTCTGAGCCCTGAGCCCTTCTCTGCCCGTGCAGGAGAGAGCGGGGTGGAAGTGAGCAGGTTTCCAGGTGGTAATCCCAGGAAATTGAGAACCCTAACACCCCAGGGGCCTCTAACCTCCAACAGGCCTGGACCGTGCCCAGTGTGGAAAAGGCTCCTTGGGAACTCTGCTCCTGCCCACACACCAAGCTTTCCTGCCTTCCAAGGCTGTGAAGACAGGTGGCCCCCTGTCTCTGCCCTCCCACTCCCCTGGGGACCTTCCTGTCAAAGAGAGGAAAGAGAAGTCGGCTCCCACTAGGAGCCAGCAGCCTCCTGGGAGTTCACTCACCAGGTATATGGAATGTCCTCTCTCTATGACTGAACCCCCACCCCGGCCTATCCTCTGCCATGCCTGAGACCAGTGACCTGGGGTCCCTGAGCGCCATACTGCTGGCCACCTGCTGGAGAGTCCGAAAATCCCCAGGACACAGACTGCTAGAGCCCACAGGGACAGCTGACACCAGACCGCCATCTTGTCACCTCATTTGCACGTTAAGCACCAGAAAACATACGACAAGAGCAAAGAGGGGCCTCCTTGGGTCGCCTCTAAAGCCAAGAGTGACGACTGGGAATGCTCATGGAAGCTTTCCCCCCTCTTCCCATGTGCTGGGCACAGCAGCCCAGGCCAGGGGAAGGCAGAATGGAGCATGCACCTGTGACCCTCATAGACCTTCCGAGTGGCTCAATGCTCAGCACAGAGTAGAACCGCAGGGACTTAAACCTGGGCAAACCCTCACTGGCCTCTCAAGCGTCCTACGATGTAGCTACATAATATCAGCCTGGTTTTTATGTGCATTTCCTCCCCGGCTCACCATATTTATAACTGGGTCATCTTTTAACGATTCGAAATGTAACTCCAGGGGAGAGGGGGTGGGCTTTATAAATAACCTTTATTATCATGTGCTGGTCGGCAGTGCTCTCCAGGCTCAAGGAACAAGAAGGCACATGTTCATGACTCATCCCGGCCCCGGAAGCATGGTCGCACTCACGACTCCCAGTCAGGCCTGCACAGGGTCCTTCTGAGGCACACTTACACACTCACCTGCATGGGGTGGCCCCACATAGGAAGGGGTATTGCTTGGAGTCAGGGGATTTGCACGGTGACAACCGACTTAGCCCCACACAGCTGATGAAGCCCCACATTCAAAGCCATCTCTGTGGGTGGGGCTGCCAGAGAACAGGATCCAGGGATCCAGGGGCTTCTGTTCGTCTCAGATTCCCGCTGGGGCCCTGTATCAGGGCCCCAGGGCCTTTTCACCAACGGCCTGTGATCTGGCAATTGCTGGGACTCACAGCCAGCCACTGCTTTGTGGTTAGCAAATGACACCATCTATGCAGGCCAGTGATCCAAAACCAGATAGCGGGATCAACTCCTGGATATGTCACAGAGAACAGCAACCCAGTGCATGCAGGAACCTCACACATCCTGGCAGCCAAGGAAGAGGTATGCACATGAAACCACAGCCAACCGGCACACTTGTCTGTGGGGTCCCAGTCACCAACTTGCTATCCCCCAGCAGGTCTGGCTACCAGATTTAACCATCTTGCTTCTTTATTCCATAAATGGTGACTTGATAAAGAGGACCTCTTGTTGGGACCCCTAGGGCAGTGTGCTGCGGTCACTACTGCTCCCAAGTGGCCTCTCTAGAAGAGAAGGAGGCCCGCGGTGAGCCCACCCTGAGGAGCTCCAGGCTGAACCCAGGTGTGGGTTGTGGGTGTGTTTGGGGCTGGGCCTGTGTTTCTCCCTCAACTGGGGACAGAGCCAGGCCCGTGGCAGCCCAGAGCTTTGCTAAGTGCAGGTTGGATAGCTCATATCCATGCCAGGAGCCCGAGGGCCGGGGACTTCATTCCTGAAGCAGGTGCTTGGCCTTCCCCGGCAGCCAAGCAGGTAAGTACATGCGAAGCCTCCATGGCTGCTCTTAGCTCTTTGAAACTTGAAACTCCTCCCACATCTGGCAGCTCAAGCGATGTCTTCTATTGTGACTGTCTGTGCGGTCCCCTCTATTGTATGCCCCTGTCCCCTATAACCCCACCGTCTGTCCATGTCCAGCTCTCTAGGAGGCCAGCATCCTACCAAATGCAGTGACCCGATAGCAGGAAGTCACATATCCAACTCCATTCTCCCCCCCCCCAGTCCACAAAAGATGGCCTACCCAGGTCCCCATATGACCACCTTACCTGTGCAGGGCTTCCAGTGTTGGGCGCCACAACGGGGGGTACCCAGAAGCAAGAGTGCCACACACAGCGTCAGCAGGGCAGACATGAGGGGCTCGGGTCCCAAGATCCATCCAGGGGCTCCACTCGCCTGCAGAGGCAGCCACTACTAATTCCCTGCGAAGGGCAGTCTGGGCCCCAGGTGGTCACTGCGATGAGCCCATGTCAGCGTCTGCAGGAGGACAGAGGTGGCCTAGGCAGCAATGACAGCCCCTAGTTGTTCTGCAGTAGCAAAAGGCAGGTGGCCCTGGCAGGCTGGAGCTTCAGCTGCAGGCAAGGGCTTATCTCTCCACTTCCCTGCTGGGCTTGGGTCCAGCGTGCAGGTGACAAGAGTATCAATCTTCAGGACCGGGATTAGTCATTGGCAAAGCTCACCCTCCTGAAGGAGAGACAGAAATAGATCCTTCAGCGCTGCGCACTGAGAACAAACCAGAAAAACTTAGAAAACCAGTTTTTCTTGGGTGCAGAGGGCGGTGGAGTGCTGTCGCAGGGGACTCAGTGCAGGTGACCTTGGCAGACCCAGGAGTTAGCGATGGGGACAGGTGCTCTGCCTGTCCACCTCGTGCTCTGCCCTCAGCTGGAGTGGTGTCTCCAGACGCCTCAGCATTCAGCAGGGGTCAGTCTTAGGTCCTGCAGGACGTCTGGTCCTCTGTCCTGGGCTGGGAGCAGGATCAGTTTCAGAGGCGGTGGTGACAGCCGCACGTCTGCCCTGCTGGGACCCACACCGTCCCCAGAAGGGCTGGCTTTGAGGAGGGCTTTTTATCTGGTGCCCAGCCCTCAGAGGGTGTGTGGGTTTGTCAACTGTTGGCTTCAGGAATTCCCCTGTGGGGGGAGCCATCCTTAAAGAGAGCTGTTCCAGAGAAAGGGGTTAGGGTGGCCTGTGGAGGGTGTGCTGCCTGTGTGCTCAGTTCCCCGAGGGAGGCTTTGGGCTCAGCAGGAGCCCCTTTCCCAAGCCCCTAAGACACACTATTTTCCCCAGCTTCAGAAGGAATGCCCCAGCTCAGAACCCAGGCAGAACCTGGCTCTGTGTGTGCTTGCAAATGGTAGACCCTGTGTGTGTATGTATGTGTGTACATGCACATGTGTGCATGTATGCAAATGGTAGACCCTGTTTATGTATGTGTATGTGCAAATGGTAGACCTTATGTGTGTATGTGTGTGTGCGCGCAAACTGTAAACCTTGTGCATGTATGTGTGTGTGCGTGAAAATGGTAGACGTGTGTGTGTGTATGTGTCTGTGCACGTGCAAATGGCAGACCTTGTGTGTGTGCACACATGCACGCAAATGGTAGACCCTGTGTGTGTGTGTGCGTGCGTGCGTGCGTGTGTGCAAACGGTAGACCCTGTGTGTGTATCTGTGTGGAGAGAGTTTAGGAGAAAGTGGGGGGAGGGGAGTGCCACAAACCAGAAAGGGCGAGAGGACAAAGATGGACGGAAAAGAGAGAAAGAAGTGGGGGAAAGCCCCAGCTCAGCGCCCGGGCAATGTCTGACTCAGTGGGTGACAAGAGAGAGAAACGGGCAGAACAAGCAGGGACAGAGAAAGAAGGGAGAGAGTCCTGGAGGGTCTCTGTGCAGGGAACTAGCATCCTGTTCTTCCCTTCTCCCTGGAGACTGGATCCACAGTTTCCGTCCCAGTGAGAGGGCTGTGGACTTGTGGTGACTAGGATATCTGTGAAGAAAACCTTGAAGAGATACTTCTTGAACACAACTACTTTTCCTGGCCCAGGGGAGCTTTTCCACTAGTTCCCTGGCTCAGCGCTGCTCCTTCCTGGTGGGACACACGGAGCAGTGGCAGGATTTCCCGAGGTCCCCTTGGATCACGCCACTTGTGAGAGCTTTTGTGGCAGCCATGACCCTAGCCATCAAAGGAGAGACACATGATTCCCAGGGGAACAGCAGCCTAGTCTGAGGTGGGAGGTGGGGGGAACAGCAGCCTGGTCTGAAGTGGGAGGTGGGGGGAACAGCAGCCTGGTCTGAAGTGGGAGGTGGGGGGAACAGCAGCCTGGTCTGAGGGGGGAGGTAGCTGTCTTGTCGTGTAGTTTCTTTCCCTCCTTGGGAACACTGTCCCAGCCCAGCTGCAGGTCGTGGTGGTGGCCTCCAGAGCCACACCCGGGCTGGAGCATGGAGGAGGTGACTTCTGCAGGATGGGCAGCTAGCACCTGTGCAGGGCCTCAGGCCCAGGACAGGGCTCCATGCAGCCACCCTCTGACTCTTTTACTGATCATTAAATGAAACACTGACATTGGTTTTTTTTTTTTTAACAGCCTGGTTTAAGGAAGCAAAATTATGTTACCTTGGGAAAATCCTTTCCTGTCAAATGTGGTGTGGTCATAGGCCTATGCAGTCAGCAGCAGGCAAGCGCTGGTTATTGGGACTATCATGCAAAACCCCACAATCATCACCTCAGTGTGGGGCCTGACTGAGAGACGTCAACACACCACAGGGGTCTCACAAGGGCCTACCGGCAAATCAGACCACAGATGTGACCTGGATAAACCAGCAGGTCGCAGGCATGCCAGCTCCTAAGCCCTCGATGGCAGAAGAGAGTCCCAACCTCTTCCTGTATACAGTTGGAGATACTGGCAAGAAGAAGAAAAATTGTCCCAATTTTTTCCAAGTTGATTCTGCCACAGAAATGACTTCTCCCACATTCCATGCAAGAAAGAGTCGCAGACATGGGCCAAGAGCAACGAGAGGGTATACAAATCAGAGATGTTTGTGATTGGCCTGATCTTCTTCCCAGTTCACCCAAATCTGAGCTCTCTGCCTGTTAACAGATCTCAGGCAGGAACAGCTCAGCCCTAGCCCAGTGGGAAAAGAAAACCTCCCAAGAGGTGGAGATGTAGCTCAGTCTAGAGCGTAATGGCCCACTTCCCAGCACCCCAGGAACCAGATACGGTGGTGCACTCCTGTAATCCAGGGACTCAGGGAGGTGGGTGCTCAGTTCAGAGTTTTCCTAGGCAACACAGCAAGCTTGAAGCCAGCCTGGGCTACTTGAGACCTTGTGGATCAGGAGGAAAGAAGGGAGAGAGAGAGGAGCATTAGTTAGATCATGGACCCTCTCCATGCCTTTCTGGATCTCCCAGAAACCAGGCCATGCCCTGCAATCTGTCCTTGCTGTGTCAGAGAGCCCTAGCCTCCTCGGGAAGAGCAAACCCACCCTCCCCACTAGTCAAAAATATTTTCTTGAACATTTACCGGTCTTGAGAGACAACCTTCGGGCATCTTCACAGTTGCCGCGCGTGTCTCCTCAGCTCATTCTCCGCACCTGCATCAGGGAGTTCAACGTGTGACCCGTTTGTTCGTGCTCCCCTGTCATAGTACCCTCCTGTGTGCACATCACCTCTGTTCTATGTCCCTATTTCCTTCGCCCGCATCAGGTCAGGTCAGCACTGCTTGGTAAAACAGATACACACCAGCTTTTCAAAATGCATCTACAGGACTGAGGAGATGACGTCATCCATGGAACACCCACCTTGCCAGCACAATGACTGGAGTTCAATACCCAGAACCCACGTGGAGAAAGTTGGGTGTTGTAGCACGGGCTTGTAATGGCAGCCCTGGGGAGGCAGAGCCAGGGGATAGATCCCTGCGCCTGGCTGGTCAGGCAGCTTTGCTTACTTCTAGACCAGTTAAAGACCCAGGTTCAGGAGGGCAGAAAAGGAGACAGTGCCTAAGGAGTGACACCCAGAATCGTCCGCTGCTGCACACACAGACATGCACCTGCACAAGTAATCACACAAATGTATCAGCCACCAAGTGTGACGAAGCGTGTCTGTAATCCCAGCAGGCAGAAAGCTAAGGCAGGAGAATTGCAAGTTCAAGGCCAGCCTGTAATTCAGAGGGAGTTGCTAGCCTGAGGTTCAGTGAGACTCTGTCTCAACAAAACAAGGCTTAGCAGCTCTCACCTATATGCGTCTTTACACAAACTCTAAAAATCTCTTGGCCCCATAGCTGGGAGTAACAGCACACACCTGTAGCACAGCTACTTGGGAAGCTGAGGCAGAAGGATCACTTGAGCCAAGGAGTTCAAGGCCAGCATGGTCAACATGGCCAGACTGTGTCAAAAAATAAAAATAAAACAAATTCCATTTAAAACTCCCAAACCAACGTTAAATAGTAAGCAAACGTATTATAGGAATCGGCCTGGGGAGATGGCCCAGCAGATAACAGCTTGCCGTGCAAGCATGGAGCTCTGCATCCAGAGCCTTGGTACCATTATGTGTTAGTGCACGCCTGCGATCCCAGCCCTGGGGTCATGGAGACAGAAGGCTCTTGGGAGCATGTGGCCAGCCAGTTTGCCAATCAGTGAACTCCTACAGGCATAATGTAATCACTATTGTAAACATAATTCTTTGTGTGTATGTGTGTGAGGTCTGTGCATTTGTGTGGCATGTGTGCATGTATAAGTGTGTGTGTGTGTATATTTTGTTTATATGTAAGGTCTGTCTGCATGTGTGGCATGTTTGTGGTCTCTCTCTCTCTCTCTCTGTGTATAGTCTGGCATGTATGCCATGTATGGCATGTATGTATGTATGTATGTGTGTGTGGTCTGGTGTGTGTGGCATGTATGGTGTATGTATGTGTGTGTGGTCTGGTGTGTGTGTGGCATGTATGGTGTGTATTTTGTATGTGTATAACTATATGTGCATATATACACATGAAATTACATTTTTGCTCATGTTTAATGTTTCGGGTTCCTGTTTTCTGATCATATTACTTACAGCTTACCATGACATCGTCTAATTGATTGTGTCTTTCTAAATATCCAAGTTTTCCCAGAAGTATATTAAAATGTCTTATGCAAATGAGGTTTTACAGACTGCTTACATTTTTCTCCATGGATCTGACACTTTTATGTTTATAATTTTTCCTTTCAGGTTTTGATTTTAGTACATTTGTGCTCATTTCAAGTGTTCAGGCCCAGTCTTGTTTTATTTCTTCCTCCACAGAGTACACACTTTTACCAGCGCTGTCTACACACAATCTACAGTTGTGTGCTTGAGCTCTGACTTCTGTTCCGTCTCTCCCCAGAACTCTGGCCGTATGTATTTCCATGTCACCTTGTTAGGTGCATATGTGGTTTTTGGCCGTATGTATTTTTGAGTCCACGCTGTTAGGCGTATACGTGGTTTTGCTCAATACATACTCCAAGTTCCCTTTCCTTGGCTGATCCATTGCTTCCCCATTCCTCTTTCTCACCAAAGGCTCCCCATCCAATCAGCTCTGCTTAGGCCTCCCCCCTCCCTAGGCATCTGAAGTCCCTGTCACATGCCTCTGCTTCAGACACCAGACACCAACACACAGATCCCCACCTCACAACACTGCCACACATGTTTACACAAGGGCTCTGGTTTGGAATGTTGGGAGACATTTGACACAGCCCTGAACTATTCCAACATGGTGCATGCACCCATTACGAGGCCCTGAAGGTTCAACAGTAAACCACACATGAAACAGGGCTGCAGTGCTCCCTAAGCACAAAAGGCACCCTAGTTTCCTACTGTAAACTTGTCTTTATCTCCTGCCTCTTTATCACTGGATCTGAGGGGTGGTACCATGCAATATTGTTCCTGGTTCCTGACCCAGTGGGAGGTGAGGGAAGTCCCATACTCTTGGGAGTGGCATCCAGGCTTCCAGGGTCCAGGACCCAGTACTAAGAGTCCGTGAGAAACACCCTGGGGAAGCAGTGTGTGCATTCAGGAAGCATATGAGCTCTGAAGTTCACTGATGTCATGGTGAATTTTGCATTAGATGGTGTTGCTATAGCACTCAGACTCCTGGCCCGAGCTGCCCAGACACTGCCTTAAAGAGACTTATTATTGGGGGAAGGGGTACCCAACCCACTTAAGCTTATAAGGCAAAAACTGAGCTCCCTAAGAAGAGGTATTTCTTCCAGAAACCAACCTCTAGACTCTAGCTGTACCACCAACTCTTCCCATATCTCCAGCAGCAGTCTTGACTTGCCACCCCAGTCACGTGAGTCAATTCCTAAAATAAACACCTCTCCTGTCTAGAGGAACACCCATCCGCATACGTGTGTGTGTGTGTGTGTGTGTGTGTGTGTGTGTGTGTGTCTGCATCTCTTCACTGACACACACATCTGTCAGCTCTGCTTGTCTAGAGAGCCCTGATGACCGCATGATGATCGCAGCTTGTGGGGGAGCGGCTCCTTAACTATGGTCCAGGGCATATCTCTGCAGGATGCAGAGAGGCCTGTGGGCCTGGGGTAGATGGACAGGCGGACTCTCTGGTTTTCTTCCGAGCTGGAGCTTCCCAGTACCGCTGTAGGGGAAGAGGGCTCTCCTACAGCAGGCATTTAAAGCCTAGAACTCCTGTTCTGAGTAACTCCCGAGAAGCCAGCTCCTGCTCCAGGTGTCTCCCCTTGCCTCATTCCCCTTCTCTTAATAGCCACACTTAAATCTACATAAAACTCCTTTTTTTCCTTTTCTTTCTTTCCCTCCTCCTCCTCCTCCTCCTCCTCCTCTTGTTTTTCTTCTTCTTTTCGTTTTTCAAGACAGGCTTTCTTTGTGTATCCCTTGAGGTCCTAGAACTCTCTTTGTAACTCATGCTGGTCTCAAACTCACAGAGATCCACCTGCCTCTGCCTCTCTGGCATTAAAGGCGTGTGCGCCACCACTGCCCGGCTGTAAAACTTTCTTAAATGCCAACTCTGCCTCATAAAAGGAAAGGACCAATTCTGAGGAATCTCTGAGTGAATGCCAACGGTAGGCAGGGCCTGGAGTGGGTTCCTCTGCTCTCTAGGTAAGGACGGCTGGCATTAGGTTCTTACTTCTGTTGCCACAACATTTAGCTCTATAACACCCCATCAGTGTCTGTGAGGCTCTTCAGTGTGAAATCTATCCAGGCAGCTCTTCCCAAAGCTCAGGGAAGTCTCGCTGGCAGTTTAAGGTCACCTGACCTGCTCTGAGTGTGGGGGCACTATGGTCTGCAGGAAGGTCCCTCCCGGAGCTCAGCTCTGGGAGAAGTGCCCAGAGTCCCTGGACAGGCTCTAGGCTGAGGTATGGTCCCTCACTGTCACCAGGAAACTGAGTGTTGCAGGAAAGACACTTTTATGAAAAGCTTGTCCCAAGCCCAGAGATAATGTCTAGAAATAGGCTACCGGCTAGAGTTACCACGGCTCAAGACCTGGTATAGCATCCAAAGGCAGAGTGGAGAGAGCAGCTCCACTTCCCAACGCCCCCAGTCACGGGCTCTAACATATTTCTTACACTCAAACCTGCCTGAGTCCCTAAAAGGTGACACATCTTAGCTAACTACTTAACTGACAGACACTTGAAGTTGCCACGTGGCAAGATTCTGGAAACTGGGAAAGCAGAGCCACCCGGGTCCACACTTCTACAGTTGGGGAGGACAGATGGCAACGCGGGGCAGGTGCCAGAGGCCTTCGGGCCGCATCCTGCCAGGGGGTCCCACGTTCATTTCCGGCTTGCGAGGCCCGGGTCCCCTGCAGCAAAGCCCACTGCACGAAGCATGTTCTTAAAATTCTTTGCAGATTAACCCGCATTACTGTGAGCCCCATAAAAGCGCTTGGCGGCTCACGGTGCTTTCCCCGGCGGGAGGCCGCGGAGGGCGGCGCAGCTGGCGGGAAGCGCAATTAGGGCGCGGGCTCAGCACTTCAAAGGCTCGGGCGGGCTGTAATTAGCGGCACCGCGGGCGGCGGCCCCGGCCTGCGCCCCGACAAAGGACCGGGGCTGCCTGAGTCACCCCGGAGCCCGGGAGCACTCTGCCAGGCCCATCCAGCAAGCCCATGCGCCCCTGCCCTCACTTCAGGGTCAGCGGTCTGCAGAGAGGAGGAGATGCACGGGCTGGGGTAAGTTCCTACTTCGTCCAAGCAAACCCACCTTGACTCAGGGTCGCTGAGATCAGCCTGAGCTACCAGACATCTACACAAGAAGAGGATGAAAGGGAGAGGATGTCTCGACTGTCAAAGGGAAGGATGGAGAGCTGGACCGCTTTTTCAAAGCTTCCAGAAGGACCTACCCAAGAGCAGGGAAGGACCTAGAGCTGACCCTTGCTAAGACTGAGCTTTGGTCCCCTGCTGGTAGAGTCCAGGTTAGGACATTGGACAGGCATCCCTGGCAGCCAGTGACCCGGTGCAGAGGGGGTGTATGTCTGTGGAGTATTCGCAAAGGGATTCCCAGAAGGTCCTGGGAGGGTGGGCACACTTCTGTGGTGCTTTGGGATCCAGCCTTCGGTTGCTCATTGCTTTTTTTTTTTTTTTTTTCCTAGATAGAGGGAAAAAGCTTACTTGGAAGTACAGGCTACTTTTCTTATGTTTTTCTCTACTCTATTTTTTAAAATATTTATTTACTGTGATGGCTAGTGTTGATTGAAACCTTGATGGAATCTAGACTCAACCTGGC